CTCCTACTCATTCTCCCGAGTAGCTGGGATTACAAGCAGGCGTCACCACACTCAGCTAATTTTTTGTATTTTTAGTAGAGACGGGGTTTCTCCATGTTGGTCAGGCTGGTCTTGAACTCCTGACCTCAGGTGATCCGCCCGCCTCAGCCTCCCAAAGTGCTGGGATTACAGGCGTGAGCCACTGTGCCCAGACTATGACATCATTATTCTATATACTGGAGACCTGCACAGTCCAATACAGTAGCCACTACTCACATGTAGTTGTTAATTTATTTTTTATTTTTGAGACAGGCTCCTACTCTGTTGTTCAGGCTGGAGTGCTGTGGCCCAATTACGGCTCACTGCAGCCTTGACCTCTCAGGCTCAGGTGACCTCAGCCTCCCCAGTAACTGGCACTACAGTTATGTGCCATCACACTCTGCTGATTTTTCTTTTTTTTGAGACAGAGCCTTGGTTTGTCGCCAGGCGCCAGGCTGGAGTACAATGGTGCGATCTTGGCTTACTGCAGTCTCTCCCTCCCGGGTAACTGGAACTACAGGCACACGCCACCACGCCCAGCTAATTTTTGTATTTTTTTTTAGTAGAGATGGGGTTTCACCATGTTGGCCAGGATGGTCTTGATCTCTTGACCTTGTGATCCGCCCACCTTGGCCTCCCAAAGTGCTGGGATTATAGGTGTGAGCCACCGCACCCAGTCTTTTTTTTTTTTGGGGGGGGGGCCTTGCTCTAAAATCCAGGTTGGAGTGCTGTGGCATGATCTCGGCTCACTGCAACCTCTACCTCCTGGATTCAAGCAATTCTCCTGCCTCAGTCCTGACCTGAGTAGCTGGGACTCCAGGTACATACCACTATGCCTGGCTAACTTTTGTATTTTTAGTAGAGATGTGGTTTCACCATGTTGGCCAGGCTGGTCTTGAACTCCTGGCCTAAAGTGGTTCTCCCGTCTCAGCCTCCCAAAGTGATGGGATTACAGGCATGATCCATTGCACCCAGCCTAAATTTTTAATTAATTTCAAAATTTTTCTTTTTTCTTTTTTTAATTTTTAAATTAAAATTTTATAATTTCAATAGCCACATTTCAAGTGCTCAGCAGTCTCATGCTACTAATGGTTATCATACTGGCACAACAGAGCTATAGAGCATTCCCACCATCGCAGAAAATAATTGGAAAGCACTGTTTTAGATACAAAGAGCCACTTACCACCCCTTCAGTTTTTCATTTTAGTTACATAATTTACACACAGGCACATTCTCCATTCTCATCTTTTCTCTCTCTCTCTCTCTCTTTTTTTTCCTCCATTCTCATCTTAAACCTTTTTTTTTTCTTTTTTTTGAGACGGAGTCTTGCTCTGTCACCCAGGGTGGAGTGCAGTGGTGTGATCTCGGCTCACTGCAACCTCCGCCTCCCGGGTTCAAGCAATTCTCCTGCCTCAGCCTTCCAAGTAGCTGGGACTACAGGCACGCGCCACCATGGCCAGCTGATTTTTGTATTTTTAGTAGAGATGGAGTTTCACTATGTTGGCCAGGCTTGTCTTGAACTCCTGACCTCAGATGATTCTCTACCTTGTTCTTGAGTTTTTGGAGAGTAAACCACACCATGAATGAACTTTAGGTTATTCAACTAGTGCCTTCATGATGAACATGTGTTTCCAGTTCTCCCTGTTGCAAACAGTACTATATGCAAACATCCTTGTACCTCTTTCTGCATTTGCACTCATTTGTCCAGGGTAAATACCAAAAAGTAGAATTGCTAGGTCACAAAGTCATATGGTAACACCCCTGGGGCTTGGCACACCCTGAAGCTCCCGCCTAGAATGCCTGTCCACATGACTAATTCCTACTCATCAAGACCAATCAGTGTTATGTCCTGTGAAAGATCATCCCTTCTGCCTGAATACTTACTATCTGCATTGCATCATTACTGTACACTTGGGGCTCTGCCTTTTGTTTTTGAGACGGAGTCTCACTGTGTTGCCCAGCCTGGAGTGCAATGGTGTGATCTCCACTCACTGCAACCTCCGCCTCCCAGGTTCAAGAGATTCTCCTGCCTCAGCCTCCTGAGTAGCTGGGACTACAGGCACCTGCCACTGCGCCCAGCTGATTTTTTCTATTTTTAGTAGAGACGAGGTTTCACCGTGTTAGCCAGGATGGTCTTGATTTCCTGACCCCGTGATCTGCCTGCCTCGGCCTCCCAAAGTGTTGGGATTACCGATGTGAGCCACTGTGCCAGCCGGGGCTCTGCCTTATTTAACTTTGTATCCCCAACATTCCTAGTATAGGGCTTAGCATGGAGTAAAAATTCAAATGTTTTCTTGGCTGGATGAATGAATGCATAAATAAACAAATGAAGGCACAGTGGTTAGGACTTTCCAGAAACTCAAGGTGAGTCCGTGAGGGGCATGGACCAATCCGCCATTGGTACACTGAGCCAAATGCCTTG